ACCGTGCGCTCCCGAAGCGCTCTTTATCGTGCGGTCTGTCGCACCCTGCCGTGCGCTCTCTCCTGCGCTCCGTCGCCGTTCTCTCTGAAGCGCTCTCCCGACAAAACTAACAAACAGCTAACGTGCAAACCAATGCTGGAAGGGAAGGAAAGGAAGGAAACTGGGGGGATAGGAAATGGGAATGGGGAGAAGAGGGAGGGAAGGGTATGAGGAGGATGGGGAGAAGGGGAAGGGGAAGGTACCGGGCAGGTGTGGGGAGCAGCTTGGATTTCCAACAAGCTAGAGCGACAAGCATGGGGGCAGAAGGATGATGACACCGCCACCTTTCTATATCAACAGTGGGATGCCGGTCATGGCATTTTATCCGGGGAAGAGATCAACTCCAGCATGATTGTTAAGCTCCAGGTTCAAGGGGTGGGGCCAGATCGTAGGTTTCCCGTGTAGGTTTGTGTGTGCCCGACCCCGGTCTGACACTCCTACACAGGAGGGCAAAATGCGTCGTCCAAAAGGTAGAGGAGGTGGAGCCCGGCTGCAGTGCTGCACGATATCTTTTCCCCGCTTACTCAGTAGTAGCTATTATAAGCAGAGGTCGTGGTAAGTTAGGGTTTCTGTTCGCCTCCTGAATGTGCTCCTGAAACATCCGGGGGAGTGAAATGGTGGACAAAATCTTCCCGGGGGGTCGGGAACCAAGAGGCAATTTATCAGTGACAATTGTCACTGTTCCATATAGGGGTGAGATGGGGGAGCGGCGAATAAGTGACCCAAACAAGGAGCTGAAAGTGAAAATAACCATTCTGATACCTAGCAATGCATTTTCTATTTCTATGACGAGACTAAGTCCTCACGGCAGATCGGCAATGCTCGCACATGTGAGCAAAAAGTCCACCATCCACCCCCGGGTCGAAGCCTCAGGCTCCGTTGATAGGAATCAGCTAGAATCTAGGGCGGGTACCCTATGGACCCTACTGGTCGTGGTAGTTGGATGATGACTGGAGGGGCGTCGGAGAGGAAGGAGTCATTAGGGGTTAGGCAGGTATAAGATGAACATCGTGGACACTGTATACGGCATGTTTCCTCTGCGGGCGGGAGTTGGAGATTTTGGAATTTCCATCCAATTCGAAGCCACCTTAAATCGGGAACAGCCATGGGCGACCGGGGCTGGCTCCCCCAATTTCCTCCCATTTCTTTCTTCCTTTTTGCGGAAGACTGACATGGTGCCCGCGGGTTCGATAGCATGGGTACTGCCAGTATTATCCTCGGAATGAAAGAAGTGTAAAATAGAGGAGGGGGAGAGGTGGAAAGAATGTGGCGCAAGAGAAAGCATGATGAAGCTTGGGGAGCACATTACGAATACCGGGCGCAGCGCGCGAGTGCCGAAGGCCGAGAGCAGAGGAATGATCGCACGCGGCATGTCAACGGTTCGTCCGAAACCAAAGGAGAGGGTGGCGCCTCGTGGCCAAGCCAAGCTGGTGTGCTCAAGATGAGAGATAAATCCATACAAGGTGGCCATCATAGAGCGGGAGACCCTTCTCTGGTCCTTATCTGCCTATTAAATCCGTGCAAATTTAGACACTAGGCGCGAGATGCGGAGCAGGAAATAAGAAAAAGAGAAAGAAGGGTGAGAGCACAAGGTAGAATGCAAGCAAGTGGGATTGCACCTAAGCATGCTCCTGTCGGTAAGCCGCGGATGGGCACGACGGTGTGCAGTGCGGACCGCAGCGAATCCGGTTGAATGATCGTGATTTCATGCGGGGTGTGCCCGCGCCAACCCCCCCAGCCACATCCAATAATGCTAAGCGACCGGGGAGAAGGTGGCGCTCATGGAGCGCCCTACCAAAACAGGTTCATGCCTGGTTCATCAAAGTGACTAAGCAAAAAAACTAGATAACCATATGATATCCCTTATTACGCCAGGTTGTGTCCTCACTGCCACAGCCCACCGGCCAGCAGCGATTGGCACCCGAGTTTCCGGGAACCGAACATATACCCGAGTGGAGTACAGTACCGGTTCCATGAAGAGAGCAAGTACGGTACATTATAGCTAAAGTGGACCACAATTTGTTGCGCGAGAAGGAAAAGTAAGCGCATAGGTGTCCATTTGCTAAAAGAACGATGATTTGTTGGTTGAGATCGGGGCTAAACCCAGGGCTCCCTTGCGTTCTTGTAAACGCGAAACGCTCACGGCGTGCACTGTACGAGTACTTGCAGATTGGCACCAAACCCACCGGCAGCAGAGTAGCTGTTACACAGAGTGCGGGTGCATGCTATTAATAGGACAAGTTTTTTAACCCTCCTGGAGCCACACCGACCCCGCTTCCCCCAGCACAATTTCCATCGACCGAACTTAGCGACTCGACAGTTGATCCCCAATAAAATAATTACAACCTACGAGAAAATGTCGGATTATAATACTAATGACCCTACGAACCCCCGCGGAAATGCCCACTACTCGCATAACACAAATTCTCTGAACTCCTTTCATAACGTGTATAATTTTGGTGTTAGGGATGAGAAGTCGGAGATTCTGGCATGGCTATCTCCAATTGAACCACGTATCCGACATCAAAATATTCAAGCTCGCCGAGCTGACAAGGTCGGGGAATGGCTGCTGGAAACGGACGATTTCAAAAGGTGGTATGGTGGTGCTCAAACAGGTGAATCTGCACATGCGGCCTTGTTTTGTTGCGGCGGGCCAGCGGTTGGCAAGACGTATTTCAGGTGGGTGCCAATCGTCAAGGAGAAACGAAAGAGTGGTGGTGCTGAAGCGCAGTGACAATAGTTCACTGGTGGTAGACAGCTTGTGCGATAAGTCCAAGGAGAAAAATATAGCTATCGCATGCTTCTACGTTGATTTCGCCGCACGGGAGGAGCAGTCTCCAGCAAACATACTCGGCTCACTACTGAAACAAGTTGTCGCTGGATTGGAAAGGATCCCGGACAAGATAAGTCAGGCTTTTCAAGATCACAGGAAGATGATTGGCGGAAAGGGACCACGGGTATCAGAAATTGTGCGGATGCTGCAGAGCGTCACATCTTTGCAAAAGACATATATATGTGTTGATGCACTTGACGAATGCGCGGATGATCACCGACGCGAAGTTCTGGATTCGTTAAGACAAATCCTCGAGAAGTCACCAAATACACGAATATTCCTAACCGGAAGACGGCACATCCGAAGCGAGATTGAGAAGCATCTGGCTGGGAAAGTGGCAACCCTACTCATAAAACCCAGCAATGATGATATCGTGGGATATATCCGGATGCGATTGAATATCGATTCACATCAGGAGGCAATGGATAGTGGTTTAGAGACAGAAATCATCAAAAGCATTACCGAGAATATTCTCGAAACGTAAGTAGGCAGCATGATCCGGAAGAATATTTTACGCACGCCACTAATCAACAGGTCTAGATTTCTATTGATTTCCTTAACCATGGACGCTATCCTTGGAGAAACAACATCGTATGGCAGGCGACAAAGGCTCAAGGCAGTGACGGGTGGATTGGATTTGAAGAAGGTTTACAGTGGGACTCTAGAACGGATAAAGGAGCAGGGTGGAGAGAAAGCAAGGCTTGGAATGGCAGCCCTGATGTGGATCTCGCATTCGGAGCGGCTATTACAACTTGATGAACTGTTGCACTCCCTCGCTGTCGAGATAGGATCTGAGGATCTCAATCCCGAAAGGATTCCTTCGGTGGAGACATTGTTGAGCTCCTGCTTAGGTCTTGTCATCATCGATAGGGAGGCTTCGACCGTTCGCTTAATCCATTTCACGCTCCAGGAGTACCTTCAAACCTGCCCCAACCTTTTTAGTGCGGCTCACTCGACAATGGCCGAAACCTGTCTTACGTACCTCAACTTTCGCACTATTAAGGAGATTTCACCAACTCGATTCGCTCTCCCTCGGTCGACTATCTTTCTCAGATATTCATCCCTATACTGGGGGGTCCATTCCAGGAGACAGGCTTCAGGACAAGTGATATCACTCGCGCTCCAGCTTTTTAGTCAGATTGAAAGCCATATATCTACCAAGCTGCTTTTGGCGGATCTCATATCAGGGACCGGTCAGTATAATGGTGATATCCCCGTCAGTGGTCACCTAGTCGGGTTTACTGGACTCCATTGTGCATCTGTTTTCGGTATTCTTGAGGTAGCGACAGCTCTGATCGGCCAACCGAATTCCAATCTAAACAAAAGAGATTTCCTGGGTATTACACCGCTCATATGGGCTTCCATATGTGGGCAAGAAGGGATAGTAAAGTTGCTATTAGAGCAGCAGTCAGTCGTCCCCGACAAACCGGATAATTTCTTTCATCGAACAGCGCTCGGCTGGGCTTCTAGGAAGGGACATGAGGGGGTTGCGAGACTACTCCTCAGTCGGGCATCTTCCAATCCCGATGGTACAGATGGCTGGTGGGGTAAGACGCCCCGGGTGGTGAATATGGTCCTTGGAGAGAAATATGTCAATCCCAACAGGCCAGACAAATACGGTCAAACACCAATTTCGTTGGCTGCTGAAGAAGGTAAAGACGGGGTAGTGAGGCTGATGTTGGGAAGGAAAGATGTAAAAGCTGACTCGGCGGACGGATACGGCCTGACGCCTTTCCTCTGGGCTTGTAGTAAAGGGCGTGATGAAGTAGTAAGGCTGCTATTGAAACGGGAAGAAGTCAAGATCGATAGGTCGGACAAGAATGGTCAAACAGCGCTCTTATCTGCTACTGAGAGCGGTAATGAGGGAGTAGTAGGGCTGCTTTTGGGAAGGAAAGATGTCGACCCCAACATGCCCAATAAAGACGGCGAGTGGCCCCTCACGTTGGCAGCCAGCAGAGGGCATGATGGGGTGGTAAAGTTACTGTTAGGGTGCGAAGATGTCAACCCCAATATTCCCGACAACAATGGCCAAATGCCGCTCTCTTTGGCTGCCGAGCATGGGCGTGATGGAGCAGTGAAGCTACTGTTGGGACGGGAAGACGTCAACCCCAATACCCCAGACAATCGTGGCTGGACACCGCTCTCTTTGGCTGCCAAGAATGGGCGTGATGGAGCAGTGAAGCTACTGTTGGGACGGGAAGACGTCAACCCCAA